TAAAAATTATATATTTTAGGCACAATATAAGTAGGTATTTTATGTCTCATTCGATGTGAGAACAAGCCTATTACACATTTTTAAATATAAGTATATTATCTTGAAGCGATCTGATTATAAACGCGTAAACAGTACTTCGATTCGAACACGCGACATTCAAATATTGTTCTTAATTCAATCTATTTCGCCAGGGTGCAAATGCGACTTATCAACTAATGAATTTGAGAATGTATCTACCAGATCCTGTTGAACCATGTCACAGAGTCTCTCCGGTACGTCCTGCGTATCTTCCAAGTCGTTGATAGAGTTCACAGAATTTTGGTCGCTCAGAGACAAGCTGGTATCAGTGTCGTCGCCATAGCAACGCCGTTTATGGTCCGAAGGAAAATTGTGATAGGAATGTTCGACGCGAATCGCTTGCATTGTATTGCTGCAAGAGAAATTAACACATTATTTTCAGCAAAATTATAACGATTTAGAATTGACTTCCGAACCCTCAACATTTGTATTTAAATTCATAGGTATCTCGTAAAGTTATCTTATCGATTTATATGGCAAAACATAGTAAATGATATTGACTATTGTATCAAGGCTAAAAGAGATTAATGCTAAAAGTATTCAAGTATCCAACACATATCTACTAAAACATTAAATAAATAAATATCTAGGTCAAAAATGTATAGTATTTCTACTATGTTATTGATTTTACCTGTTCTACAAAGAGACGGGATAGTCACCTGGTTTTCCTCAGGACCGGTCGACCCATTTCCACTTGAAGTTCCAATGAGTAGAGCTTAGCTAGTGACTCCAGTTTCTCCTTCTCCTCAGGATCATTGAGACTTGGTAATTTTAATTCAGTTTGGCAAGAATCTTGCAGGAATTTCGAAAGCTGTTCGTTGGCAGCGCTTAGAATGAGGAACCCGGGTCTTTCATCCCTTATCCTGCGACACCCAGCTCTGATTTCCCTCACTTCTGTCACCACAGCGTTCCCCATTGAATGTTCACTATAGTAGTGGTCGCTCTGTGGCGACTTCTCACTCAAATTCAAATCACTCGACGACGTTTTCTGTAGCGAGAAATTCGTGCGCGGCGCCTGATTAAACGATTCATCCTGCTGAGCCGATTTCTTTTGAAACGCCTGAAAGGACTGAAAAAACGACTCATTCGCATTCTGACCAGACACACCAGCGTTTTTTATGTCACTGAAGCTACTGAACGAGGAATGCGGCTGCAGAATGTCCCTGTTCTCTTTTGAGATAGCTTCGTCTTCTAGATCCACCACAGTTTTGGAATCAGACATCATTGCGTCGTCATCGTTCCCCGAATCCACTTTAGCCCTTTTCTTCTTGAACCTGTTCTTGCAACTGGCCCACCCACTTTTGACTAATAATTTTTCCTTTTTTAATCGTTTCGGTGGTGGCATGTTGCTGGCGGATTTTGGGGAATTATTGTTGACTGACTTTGACGTTTTGAACGTTAGGCTTTTGTTGAAGACTTTTAGTTCTTCGATGCCGGGCCAGTCGGTGAGTTCATCATCGCCCTCCCTGTCACTGTCGTTGGTAACTACGCCATCAGAATCACTACTACTCAGGGAGCTTGATTCGTTCCCCGCACAGTCCATTCCACTGTTAGAATCATCGAACATCAGAGGATTTCTGAGAGAAGGTGGGTGCGACTTGTTCAACATTTTGAACTTTCTATGATATTTCCCATCGAAACTGTTCTTTCCCGTACTAGTTGTAGGGTTAAAGAAAGGCGGAAGATCAGTCGTTATTTTATACCCTGTCAGTTTGGATAATGTTGGAGTTCCATTTTTGGAAGAATTTTTATAGACAAAATTGAAACTCGAACTTCCCGGTAAAGATGGAGTGTTAGTGGGTGTAGTTGATTTTATGCCTTCTGCATTTTGAGATTTGAGTATAATTTTACCTGGTTGAAGTACAGGCTCCTTCTTTGGGATATCTGTGTCATATTTCCTTGACTTAAAGTCGTTTTTGGAGAAGTAAGCCGACTTTGAGGAACATCCACCACTGAAGGATCTCTCTCTCATTTCGCATCCATCGCCTTTATCCCGATGAGACCATTTCCTTTTGCCGCAGAAGGCGTTTCTGAAAATACAGCTATTAGCCAATACAATGAAAATTAGTAACTTCATTTATAGTTTTCAATATAAACAAGAACAACATTAGATTCAAAGACATCCTTTCAGAACAATTATACTAAATAGTATTATTGAAAGAGTCTGGGAATGAATTTCAAGATGAGTTGAACTTTGACTGAACAATGTATTGTTATGTATTAGTTGCTCATCAATAGAATTGTGAATAATGTTATAGATAAACTAATCACTTGAACATAATTGGTAAAATAACAACTCCTATTATTGTCATCAAAATTTCGAATTAAATCAGATCAGATGTGATAATAATATGTAATCTTCTAGTAATATAGGTACTTGTAGCTGTTTCCGCCGTCTCTATGAATCTTTAGAACTGAATTACAGATGCTATTTTTTTAATAGATAGAATGATTCTAGAGGAATATTTAGGTATATATAGTTTATAAGGTTTGCGGACGAAATCGCAGGCAGAAAGCTAGTAGTTTTTCTGTCCCTACATCCATAGTATACATAAGGATACATGATTAAATCTTTAAAACTAAGCAATGGTTTATATGTACAATAACATCCACTAAATAGTGAAAAAATTTAGTATCAGCATTGCAAGTGCAAAGCCAGCATGGGTTGCTAGTAAAATATAAATGTAACTTGTGTAACAAAGGCTAAGACATAAGTATATGGAGAACTTATATTAATATTTTTAATATTAAGTCAACAGTCGAAAAAGTACTATTTTTGGCATTTTTATAAAAGCAATGAATTTGACGATTTGGGAACAAACATAATATTCTGACCCTATATATTGAGCTAGACAAATAGTACAGTCAGATACAAATTAATTTCAAAATACAGGCAAGTACTATAGTTTACCTTTCAGGTTTAGTGAGAGTCTTGTGCTTGTTAACATGAATTGCCGGGGACAACACTTGGCTCTGTAGTATTATTGTAGCGGGCAGCGCATTGGGCTAAAATATAAACATTATACTGTACACCAATTACACACACCACACATACTATATTTACTGCCAATGAAATTATTACGTTATGTATATTAATATTAATTGCAAAATATGTGTTCAGGTACTTGTACTTTTGTATAATTGTCCTTAAGAGAAATAAGATGCCTAAATGGCATTGTTTTACATTTATTTTGAATTAAAAAATTGGCAAAGAAAGAAGTAAAAATGAGAATAACAAATAAATCATTGTAACTTTTTTTCTGAATTTTTAATCATGACTAATTTATACAACTGTGTACCATAAATAAATATGAGGAAAAGTCATTCTTGCATGAATGAAAAAATTTTTCACTGACTCACCTCCGTAGTTACACTTAGAATCTCAACGGGCGGTGATCGCTTCCCATCAATGTACTCTACAGGCATCTTCTTATATTTCCGTTTCCTCCTAGCATTAGCCGGTCTAGTCGGAGAGAAGTTCTCATTGAAGGAATCAGACTCAAAATTTCCAATTTGACAATAATGTCTGGATTTGAGGCTCGATTTGTGCAGGCTAAGGTGTGGGTCGTCTGAGTCTGATAGTGGCTGTGTGATGAGAGGGGCCTGTGGTGGACTGCTTGAGCTTCCATCTTCAACCAGGCTCACTGCTACTGCAGCTGCTGCAATTATTTGGTAATGTCAATCAAGCATAATTTTCAGGAAGAATGTCTACTGTTTCTTTTAGAAAGAAAATGTCACAATTTTGTAGAAAAATTATATTATTAAAATGCCAAGTGGCAATTATTTACGTATACAAAGCACAACTTGAAAAAAATTACAAGTCTACATATAAACTACAGTAAATTTCAGAACAAAAATTACAAAACTAAAAATAACTTTAAAATACCAAAACAAATGTTTTATACAAACAGCTCACAAAAGCAAACAATAAAACCTTGAATAAGAATTGAGAGTAACACTTATACTTACGTAGGTTTCCGGCAGATCTGGTTCGTCGGCGGAGGCCTAGCTTCCTCCGCTCTTGCCTGCCGCAGTTACTCTCCTCCAGAGCCAGGTTGAGGTCATGAGACAACCTCTCCATCGTCCCTAATGACCCTCAAACAAACCCATATCGTGCCACTAAATCTAGAACATACGATGCACCGGCTCACTTTGTTTAGGCCACCTTGTCTTAAATGACCTACTTCTCGCCTATTTTTCTCAAATTACTACATTTAATGACACTTAACACTCAAAAATACAATCAAAACAGTAAGTTATCACACAGGATCACAACAAAAGTATTTCGCAAGTCCTTCACCAAAACTAACGGAATGTTTGTTTTTATTATAAATATGTAGGATTATTAAAATACTTTGTACAAACGCAATAAATTTATAACACAATTTTGTCAACTACGAATAGCTTCAACTTTCGTTTATCTGATTTTTACCGTACATGATTTTGACAAAAAATAATAAATATCACGACATTCACGACAAGATGAATGAATGAAATTGTAAATTATTGAAATATACCACAGATTATCTTAAAAAGTAGTGACAGATTGGTCGTTTGATCGTTTTTTGGAGCTTTCGAAAATTCATTAATTATATTTTACTAAATTCACTAACTACTAATTGTGTTTTAATTGCACTATATTATAAATATTATTTAACTTTAAAATCATGGTGTTATTTCACCATTCATGATCCATGTTCCGTGTCTAGTAGTCAGCCAATGTAGAAATAAAAGTATAGTGGTATACTTTTGAGGAAAATAAATTACTACAGTGAGTAAGTTAATATTTAATATTATTTACATTTAAATAGCGTAATTACTTGAATAAATCCGTCTATATTTTAGTATTTCAGCTTTATGCTTAAGATATACCTACATTTTAACTGAACGATACCTGGAAAGTCAAATAAAAAAAAGTGAAACCGTTGGTTGTGCTTGCTTGTCGGTTGTCAATTTTTGCGCCAATTTCATTAACTTATTTTTATTTGTTAGTTTGGTTTTTCTCGTCGTTTTTAAGTGAATATTTTGCTTGTGAGAGTTGTCCTACTTGGTTATTAATAGGTAATGTACAGTAAACTATTATACGCTTTTAATTTTTGAGATTGACGCTTATCACTAGCGTCTGGTTCAACGCTATTTTGTTTCATCGATATTTTCTGTTCAAATTAATAAGACTCTAAATTAAGGCTCTTATTAGTCTTCTAATAACAGGTTTTATTTATTATACTAGTTAGCAAAGTCGTCTATTAGGATTTGGATGTGTTTTTTTTTTTTAGAATGTGAAGGTATATTGAGAAGAAGGCGTCATTGCAGATTGTTTATTTATGTTTATTTTGCTTTATTTGCGGTTATAGAAGTCACCTAGAGTTTATAATAGCGATACTAAATGGCGTTTGTAGTCTTAAGTAATAAAAATTGTTCTCATTTAAGTGTTATCATATTGTCATTATAATTTTAATAAGTAAGTTAAGTGAAATTAAAACTTCTTATAAGGGGCGTAAACAAGCTTCAACGTTTCAAAGATGTTCGTAACCTTTGACCACGTAATTTTGATTACAGTAAGATTAAGTTATCACTGTGCAAACAATGTTAGAACATAACCTACCCCAATGTGTTTAGTGTTGATCTATTTATAGCTTACTGTTACTTCTATACATTATACTAAATTAGTAAATAAGTATCTGTATGATGTGGGTGTATTTACAAACACAATTTCACATACACAATATACTTTATTTATTGTTTTCATGGTTGTTTCTTCTGTAGAACCTGCCTTACAGAAGTTGCAGGGGTTTTTGGAAGGTTGAAGCAGGCTTGTTCCATTTAAAAATATATACAAGATACCTACATCTAAAACTACAAATGGTGGATGACACAAAGAATTGTTTTGATGCATGAATTGAATCCAGAACATGTTGTATAGAAGCCACCTCACAAACTGCAATAAAAAAATGCCCTAAACTTATTTATTTTTTAATAATAACAACTACCATGAGACATGCTTAGAGAGTAAGATAGGTTTTTTACAGAAACTCCATCCAACAATGGCTGTGTGTAATGATATTGGATTGAAATTGTTTTTTAATTTTGACTAAATTTAATAATAATAATGACTTACTCATGCAAAAAACAGGACTCTTAATCATGAGCAGTTTGCCTTTTTTGCATGAGTAAGTTGCTGCTATAAATAAATTCTCCAAACATATATAAGGTCAAATTGAGAACCTCCCTCTTTTTTGGAAGTCGATTAAAAATGTCCCGAAAAATCTAAATCTCCTGAAAACTACACACAGACATTTTGTTGTGTGGTGTTTCTGTCAAAAATCATTCACAATCCTTAAGAAGATTTATGTTTGAGATCAGTTAGCAAATGAATGTAATGATGAAATAATAAAAAGGGTAGAATTATAAGCATTCTCATATAGAAGTCATCAGTCTCGGTTTAATAAATAATTATTAATTATATATTATAATATTTATTTTATAAAATCATATTTATATTTTTTTTAAAAAACCTTTTGCACATACTAGGACTATGTCCATTGTCATTAGGTGGTTCGTACTTGATCCATCTGGGAATTCCAGCCACTACAAGTTGCACATCAAATGGCTGCTACATACTTCCAACACACTGACATACTTTGTTGATTTATTGTAGATTGTTTTAAATGGATATATTTTTTTATGATTGTTTCTTGCTTCCAGCGCCAATGGAGGGCGCGGTGACACCAGACGGCGGTCGCCGCACGCGCGCTGCTCTCGCCGAAATCCCGGTGCGACTGGATCGTCTCCGTGTTACTCCGTTGCAGCCAGTCACTAATATACGAGAGCGTTCCCCCGCACTGCCGGCCGGGTACCTCAGCCCAGCTCCATCGCCTGACGAACTGCTTATACAGCAGAGAGGTATATTTACTTTTTTGTTTTTCTGGAGGGAAACTACCTTATTGCGCTTGCCCCGCAACCCCGACTGAGAAAGGGATAGCTAAATACATTTTAATCATAATTTTATTTACTGCTTCTCTCAATCGTCCCGTCAAGAGTCCCATTGTGACTTGAAACTAGTAGTCACCGTACCAACTGTGCAGTCATATTTACTCTTATTCATGAGCAACGTTGTCGCGCAACCGACTAACTTAGTAGTTAATTAGTTGACTCAGTCAATTCGTCAATAGTACTCCATTATATTACAAAATCTACGAACCTGAAAATAAAAACCGTAAATCAAACTCGGGAATCGAACCTGAGACTCTACCTTGCAAAAGTGGCCTATTTTGCATGGTATTCCATTTCGTTTTTAATTACAAAATCATTTTTTTATTAAGACTGAATTAAAATTGTACAAAAACAAATGTAACTAGATGAAAAGTGCTCAGTAGGTCAACCTATTCCAAACTTTCAATATTTTTTCATTGGATTTTCGATTATATCAAAACAAGTAGGTATCTAATAAAAAATGTTGACAAATTGGAGTATGTTGGCCTGTGGGTTGCAGTAGCTTGTATTACATTTATTTGATAAGTAGTAGGTATAGTACAAGGGTTATTCTTTAGGAATCTACCTTCTTACTAAGTTCTCGTCAGCGGTACAGCAGACACTATCACATACTTACATGATGTCCCGCTGAGGTCTGTCCTAACGCAGACCTCACCTGTCGGAACTATCGACATTGATAACAATTAAAAAAGTTCGCAATGCCGTGCTAATAACGTTAAAAATCGAATAATAAAATATCTGTAGTTCCGACATCCCTGATCTGTCGTCGTCGATAACATTGTCGAGTCTTCCGTCCCAGGTTTGTTCTGCAAAAATATTTCGATTGAAATTAATATGCCTTCTGTTTCCATCTCTATCAGACGTCATCGAATCACTCACTCCTCCATTCTCTATTTAAAATCATCTTCACACATCTATCCTTCATTAATCATTCTCTACTTTTCCATCCTATCACATTCAAATTCAGGCGTCTTCTAGTATATCTTTGAATTTTTTATTTTTCCGTTATTCTTCTCATCCATGACATCCATATTACATCTCTTCTGCATGCACTCTTCTTTCATCCGTCTTCCTCATGAGTAGCATTCAGATTAGTTGAAGATTCAGAACAGTTGCATATTGCTTGTATTGTTTATTTTAATTTTTCAGGCCGCAAACGTCTCCCTGTGACATGGTCGCCGGACATCGAACTGAAGCGTAACCCCGCATTCCATTCCGCCGTACGCACACCACCGAAGGACAACCATTTATCTCCTCACAAACTGGGCGTCACCCTTCGTTCGACACCACGCAAGCGTCTGCTTCTCGACACTGAGCGCATACCTCTTACTCCCGAAAAAATCGACTTTAGTGACATCAGCACTCCCCAAAAGTTTAAAATTACAAGTCCCATTAAAAGTACACCGCCCATTAAGAGATGCAGGCTCGATCGATCATTGAACTCCGAGTACAAAGGTCCCATTGATACCGCCCTCAAGGGTTTGAGTCCCACCCAACTCATTCACATGATCAAGACCATAACATACAAGCATCCTGAAATCGAACAGGAGATTAGGAATGATATGCCGGCGCCTGACCTGTCACCTCTTGAGGAGCGCCTGAGTTACTTGAAGAGTAATATCTTCAAAAGTCTACCTACCTCTCGGCTTACCTCAAAAACTGATTCTCCCGCGTACTCCAGGGTGGCTACTCATTTGGCGGCGTTCAAAAAGTGCGTTGTTGAACAGGGTAAGGTCTTGGTCGAGTCTCAGCATTGGGAGTCAGTGCTACAATATGTTTTTTTGGCATGGAGCTATGTAAAAGCTACACCTTTGTGGGACAACCAGCCACATAACGCTCAAAGGAAACAATGCTTCCGAGCCCTCACAACTTATTGCATGACTGCCGTCAAAAAGGGTAACTTACAAAAAGATGTGCTGGCTGATGTTCAGGATAAGCTCGAAGGAATGGTGGCGGACAGTGAGGAAATATCATCTTGTTTAAAATATGTGCAAGGTCAGTTACAAGAATTTTTGTAATTCTATTCTTTATTGTAGCTTATTGTAAGATTGAGAATATTGTGACAGATTCTATAATTGTTAGTTAGTTAATTGTAAAAAGACTGAAAATGAACCACACAGATAATATATAAGAGAGAGAAAAAAATCTATAAATTGAGAAAGGTAAATAAAAATGTTAGCATATTAAGAAAATAAACAGCTTACTATAAGTTGATTACAATTAAAATCTGAATTGATGTGGCATTTCATTTTAATTTAGTATGTTTTCTTTTCTTCCTGTATCATAATTTCTTTTTTCTTTTTATGACATAAACAATTATGGAATCTGATTTCTTTTAGTAAATTGATACCTCAATTTAGATTGTAGAATCAATACTTTTGTATCTTCTTTTTGTTAGCTTAATCTGTGTTCTCTATAAGTTACTTAATTGTTTTACAAACTATGATTTTGAATATTATTAAAAACTTACTCAATTGGTTAAAAAAATATATGCGTTATCACTACTACAGCAGCTATTATTAAGGCTGGATTATTTTTACTTTAATAATGAAATTTCATACTATTGCAGAATCAAAACTATAATTTTAATGTTTGTTTGTTAATATCTGTCTAATGTATTACAAATTCTGTGAATAAAATTGTGCCTTCATTGCATTTAAATAATGATAAAATTGTAATATCAAATATTTTTCCTTAATTTTTCGTGTTTTAAACTATTTAGCGTAAGCGTAATAAAGACTTTGGTAATTTTGAAAGAAATCAAAAATTATTTTTTTATCTACCATTTATCTTTATAAAATTTATGTCTTCCATATATTTATGGATCCCGATGTTTTGATTTCTTTCAATATAGCTGTGACAATACCAAAGTTTACTTGCTATAAGTAGTATCTAGTATTTGATATTTTTACATTTTGCAATATTTTGTCATTACTTCAAAATCCATACTCTTAAGATGAAAATTCCCTGGCAATGTTATACAGATATATTGGTGTACTTGAACTTTTGATGGTTGTTAAAACTATTCCTTAGTAACAATATAAAATTGCTAAGGACAGGGTTAAGTAATCATCAAATGTCTTTGTATGACAGATAGTCTGTTTAATTACTTTTAATTTAAATTTATAATTTGCGATTCGGACACCATTACAAAAGTGTTTTTATCTAAACAATTTATGTTAAAAAGTTTACAATCAGTTACCTAAATTGATGGTAGCTAGATTATTAACTAAATTGGAATAATCTTTGTATGTATTTTGTACGAAATCTATAAAATAAAAATTAATCGCAAAATGGCTTAACTCAAAAACGCCTCGACCAATTTTGCCAAATTATTTTGTTTTGTATTTATTATTGCTAGGAGAATTCTTATGAAAGAAAATATTAGAAAAGTTGAGGGGAATATTGAGGAAAAGGGACGCTTTGTGACCTAGATGCGCGAAGCGGGGGTGAGCCGCTAGTTTAATATAAAAATATTCTGATTATGAGAAAAAAGACGAACCAAGGTTGTTTACATTAAGTTAAGCACCCGATAGCAAACGATATACCATATTCTTACCTTCATGCAAAATATGGTGCCGTACATAGAACAAAAATTGAATGGTATCCGGTCGCACGAAATATATATTTAAATTAAAAGTAAATAATATGGTCATGTTTTGAATATTCTGTGTACACATCACGAGTAACAATGAGTTTTAATAACTTGTCTCTGTGTAGATTCGGCTACTTGAAATATAATTTTGACGTACACACAATACAAAATGTGTGAAAGGTTTATCTTTACACTATAGTGGGCAAGTCAAGTTACAAATGTAAAAAAATCCCCAACAACCTCCAAATGGCCGGTAGCACACTTGACTAAATCCTTCGGAGTTACTTACGAATGTTCAAGAGCTGCTTCGACACTCGTAACTTCAGAAGAGTTTGCTTTGCTTACCATAAGGTAATCCGTCAGCTTGTATGCGGCCCGCTTTAAAAAGTAATTTCAAGTTTTGTTTTCGCATAACTAAGGCTTCGTAGACGTACAAGCGGTGCGTCGTGCGTTGTCGTACGTTCCAGCAGCAGTCCGCTTCATCGCCAATTGTCCATCCATCGCGAATCTAAGAAAAGTATACACTAGAAATTAATAACTGAATTTCTAATTCTAAATCTCCTATACGTGCATTATTTTTCTGTTCTAAATTTGAAGTTCCTTAGCGAAGGTCTCGTGTGGCAGTTTGCTTCATAACTAACCCAATATTGATTGAGTTTGGACTTACATGTAGTGTTGTCTGTACACAAAAATCTCGAGATTGTAAAAAAATAAGTACAATGTTCTTGAACATAAATTTCGTGCCTTATCATATAAGTGATTGACAAAATATCAACTGATATTGTTAGTTTAAGTAATTGTAAGCTTAAATACATTAAATCTTTGTAATAGGTGTTTGTTTTTTTTTAACATCCTCAATTTTATCCTCTTTTACCAAGCAGTTTATATCGAGTTAGTGTATGTTAGTGGCGCTCGGATTTCGGTTTTCAATTAAGTAGTATGTAGTACTTATATTTTACTGTATTTTACAGTAATAATTAATTATTATAAGTAAAATTCAAAACTTGATACATTACAGCCAGTAATGTGAAAAATTAAAATTAAAATGTTTAAAAAATATGTAAGTATTATATAAATAGTTCCGGTATGAAAAGCAACGTAAAAATAAGAATCATTTATTTGTTAAACGTAAGTATTTTAGTAGTAGTAGTTTTATGGGTTTGTTTTGACAAAAACCGCACAACATCGTAAACGTATAATGACGGGAGTGTTAATATTTTATTCGCAATGAAACATGGCTTACACATGTCAGTACATGATAGTGCAAACATCGCTCTGAGACATCTTTTTTGTGACTTAAAAATTAGTTCTCTCTCAAAAAATAACCCCGTAGGTATCTTAGAATTGAACCTACGATGCCATGATATGCAGTGAGCAAAGCCTCGGTACCCATGATCGAAGACAGTTTATAAAGAGCATAAGCAGCTTTTCTTAGTTTCTTGCTTAATTCTTCTGTGTGTTCTTTCCAATCCAGCCTTTGATCTATATTGAAGCCTAGAAAATTACGTTTTCAATTATTTTGCTACTGTGTTTGTTTTATTATTATATTAGTTGCCTTTGGTCGTTGACTAAAAAACATTGATTTCGTTTTGTCAATATTTATCCTAAGATTATTATTATCTAGCCACGTGATTACTGATTGGATAGTTTTGTGGATTTCATTTTCTAGTTGAATCTCGTTAGTGCTATTTATAGTTACGGTGGTGTCATCTGCAAAGAGTGACATGTAATGAGCGGTCGCCTTTGGTAAATCATTGATGTAGATTAAAAATAACAGGGGGCCTAGCACGCTCCCCTGTGGTACACCGTATCTATTTGGTCGTTTATTTGATCTAAATATTAGTTGGGATTTTGTCCTTGGATCTATCTTTGAAATATCAACATATTGATTTCGATTTACTAAATATGATTCGATCAATTTTCATACATTTCCTCGAACTCCATAGGCTTCTATCTTCTCAAGCAAAATCTTATGGTCCACATAGTCGAAGGCTTGAGTCATGTCGCAATATACGGAACACACGGGTATTCCCCTATCAACATTCGTGATGACCTTGTCGACAGACAGAAAATCGTAAACAGCCATGTTAATCGTTCTATGCTTTCTGAACCCTTTTTGTTCATCGGTCAAAATGTTACATTTTTCAAAAAAATTGTAAAGTTGGTTGTATATATATTTTTCACCTAGCTTCACTGACGAACAGACTGACATACTACTATTCTATTTTGAAGTTTCAAAAATTTATGGTTTAGTTAGGAATAAATGATTTTGATTTCAATTACTCCTGAAAAAATTGGTATAAGCGCAACCGGCCGGCATTCCATGTTTTCTCTGTCGTTTTTTTGAATAGTGGTTTAACTACGGCTGTTTTTAGATAGCGTGGAATACCAGCCGAAATACACAAATTAACAATATAACTTAAATGAGTGAGTACTAATATAACCAAAAACATATTTAATGATTTTTGTCGAAATACCATCGGTATTGGTATTTTTGAGGGATTTAATTATTATATTCTGAATGTCCTCGAAAGTACTTGGAGCCATAAACATAGAATTATTCAACATTGGAATGTTCGATGTTACTTGAAAGTTATCACGTGTTATAGGCTTAATTTTATCAATTAAATAATCATTGAATGCTTTTGCTGTAAGCCGCTGATACGTTTCTGTTTTATTTCCAATCTTAATACTTGTGATAGACCTCTTTGGTAGGTAAATTTTATCTTGATTTATAATTTCCCACGTTGCTTTAGACTTGTTTATTGATTTTTTAATTTTGTACGCATTTTGCGCGCGCTGTGTAAGTCAATATTTTGTTTATACCTAGTAGCGTAGTTTTTAAATTTTTTTTTTGTGTTTTCATTCAGATTGAACCTGTAGCGCTACAATAAATGCGTCTTTTTTACGGATGCCACGAGGTACCCACTGAGGTTTTTTACGTATATGTTTTTATCGTAATTTTCCTTAGTGGAAAGCAAAGATTGTAAAACAATGTGAAAGTCTCTATGAATAATTCATAGGCTACATCGGGATCGTTAGTTTTGTAGATTTCCGTAAATGATAAACTGTGCACGCATTCCATGAACTTTTTCATGTTGTTATAACTATAATCAGGTCATTTATTATGTTTTCGGCTTACTCACGTAATAATTTGACGAGATACTCGACTACCCAAGTAGCATTTTGTTCCATTTAAGAGTACACATTTAGTTGAACTTAAAGCATTACTATAGTTCACTCGTGATGTATTAGCTGCATTATTGCAATTAATTACACCTATACCTGTCTAAGGGACTTATAGGAGTGTAGAGTAATACTTTTATACGAATATGGGTGTTATAACACTCTAACAACTATCCTTTAGTCAGCTTTCTGACTAAGAGCATTATAGGAGGGTAGAGATGTCAACCGCTGTTTAACGGCCTACTTGTTCGATGTTATAGAGCTAGCATTTTAATAGAACACTTGTGGTCATTTATAAAGCCAAAGGCTGTTATGTTTACTTGTTTTAGACTGTTATACAGCCAGTAGCTGCATTAGGACTTGTTTGTGATTCTTAAAATAACCTTTTTTTACTATCTATACAGAAGTATTTAAATGATCCACA